AATATGGGATGCTGTCTAGTGACAAATTCATTAGTTTAATGTCTTCTCTAAAACTAATACTAGCTATAACTCTGGACAGAAGACCAGTCTGATGCCGAGTTCTTTGTGCTCATTTGTCTGAGCTCTCCATACACACAAACTAACCATAAGAGCAGATGTATGTCGCAAAGTAGTCAGTATGTTATCGTACGGATAATCCGAGACAAACAGTCGTTAGTAACTTGTTCAGGATCATTCTATGACTGGTAGTACTGAGGTTTGTACACAATATCTAGTGGATCCATGTCGAACAACATAGCCATTAAGTCATGACAGCTTCCAGTTATATAGGATTGATAATAATAAGAGTAAAAATGACACGAACGATACGCTTGATTTATTCTATGTGGAATTCAATTTATTATTTAAATCTACAGGTCGAATAAAAAGTGGTTTTTAATAGTAGGCTCATTTTGTTATTATTAATTTTTTTTTCCAAATTTACATTCGTATTGTATTATTAATATAATTATATTGTAATAAACAAGAGATAATCCAATGAAATAATTTTTTTAGTTAATATGAAAAAAAAATAATTTACTTTTGCGATAAATAGATATATATGTAATTAGTATAGTTTTGTAACCCTTTTATTTAATAACAGAAAAATATAGAGTTCGTGAGTGTATTCGATAGGAATCTATATTTCTCTTAGCAAGCTGCAATCAAATAAAAAAGAAGGAACTTCAAGTTGATAGTTATTTGTTTTGCGAATTTAACGTAGTTTATGAATAATATGAAGAATATTAATAAATTATATTGATAACTTATGTTGAGTTATGTTTCAACTATTCTTAATAAAAATGAAAATTCATTTCTGCTTAAGTTTACTATTGTTTAGGATATACACAATAAGAATTTCTTTTGTATAATCAATTCTTCAGACATTTTTACTTTAATCCTAAAATAAGTATATTGAATTTAGATAAAACTTCATAAAAGACCAGCAGATCTCATCTCGTTTTATGAACTGGAAAATAACTTCTAGAGATTCGAGAAAGTAGAAATCAAGGCTACTGATCATGGAAAATAAACAATCTTATGTTGGACAAACAATTTCATCATTTTTCCAACACTTACATATAATATGACTAGAGATATGCAAGACTAAGTTCAGAATCACGTATAAGAGAAGTTGCTGAGACTGGAACTATAAGAACGAAATTGTAGGTATTAGTTTTCTCTCTCTTGATACCAATACCTATCACCACGTTATTTAATTATTATTTGTGTGCCAATACCGAAAACCATCAAAAAGAAGTTGATCTTTACCTTTCGATGATTGTATAATTAACGCACGTAAGAAGAGGTATATGAAGAATGATTATTCACGTTTTTTTTTTGTTTTGATATATGTACCTTTCGTCCAGTGAATAACTAGTTATATAATGAGAAGTCTTTTTTACTCGTCTAAAAAGAATAGCTGATGTACTGACTGAAGAGAGTGAATAATCATTTGTATATAGTGTTACATAGTATGTTATCAAATTTTAGAAAAAGTTTGTCGGACAAGCAATTTTATAAAAGATAAAAAGTCGACGAAATTCGTACAGTTGACTGCTAAGTGTTAATTTCAGTTTTATGCAAAACTTTGACTAGATCTAGTCTTTGTTAAAATGTTTTGTGAAATTTTCCTCATTACATATCTCGAATCTATCTTCCTAGTCGAAATATTAAATCTAAAAAATTCATAATGCATACTCCAATTAAAATGAAATCATTCTGTTCACATATGGACTTTCAGCAGGTTACAACACCTTTAAGAGACTCGTTATTTTTTTGTCGAAGGTTATTTATGTCAATTTAAATTTTTCTGAAATATTTTATCCTACAATAATTTAATATTGAACTAATGTAATAATTTTCTTTTTACAATCTAGAAGTTTAGTGATAAATTTGATACATATTGTTTTTTTTTAGCGTATCAATGCAAAATGTGTAGCTCTAATTAATGATACAGTTGGAACATTGATGGCATGTGCATATAAAGATCCATCAACAGCTATTGGCCTCATATTAGGAACTGGAACAAATGCATGTTATATTGAAAATTTAGATAAAGTTGGTACATGGAAAGGTGATTATAATGAACCAAAACAAGTTATTATTAATATGGAATGGGGTGCTTTTGGTGATAATGGTCGTTTAAATTTAATTCGAACAAAATATGATGAAGAAGTTGATCTTTCATCAATGAATCCTGGAAAACAAATGTATGAATGATAAATTTTTTTCATAAGAATTCAATAATTTTTTTCTATATTTTATAGTTTTGAAAAAATGATTTCAGGAATGTATATGGGTGAAATTGTTCGTTTAATAATACTTGATTTACTACAACAAGAATTACTTTTTCTTGGTCATCGTGATACATATGGAGATTATAAAACACCACTTTATAATCGTGGTGGTTTTTATACAAAATTTGTTTCAACAGTTGAAATTGATGAAGGTAAATCAAATTTTTTATTTTTATTTGTCTTCGATTTCTATGAGAGCTTTCTTTTTTTTTTTATATATTAAAGGTATTCAATTTTCAAATACACGACGAGTACTTGAAGATATTGGTATTCGAAATCCAACATATGATGATTGTGCTATTGTTCGACATATTTGTCGACAAGTTTCGAAGCGAGCTGCTAAATTAGCAGCTGCTGGTGAGTGGCTATTATTTTTGTCAGTGTTTTATCTAAAATTTCTCTTCCGGAGAGACAATCTTTGTAAAAAATACCGGAAGAATCAACTCGATCTTTGGAGAGAAATATAATTTTCTCGACTTGTACACACTGGATAAAACACTATTTTCTTATAAACTTATTTAAACAATGAAAATTAAAAAAAAATTTCAAGGTTTGGCTGTATTGATCAATCGAATTGGAAGATCTAATATTACTGTTGGTGTAGATGGATCACTTTATCGATATCATCCACGTTTTAAACATAATATGGAAAGATGTATGGAAACATTGATTAATAAATCTATTCAAGTGAGATATTATTTTTTGTTTTGTATTTATAATTTATGAAAATTTTGATAAGTTAAAAAATCTTGAGGAGATAGATATGTGACAAGCTCTCGGGTTCTATGAACTTGTTCTGTTTTGAAAGAACTATTTACTTTGATACAGATCTAATTTTTAAAAAAAAATATTTAGTTTTCTATTAATGTTTTCAATGATAGTTACAATTGAATATTGTTCATATTAATTGAAATGATTGATTATATTATAGGAAGATTATATTAACATATATATGTATGAATGTTGAGGCTTAATGCCAAAACTAAATTCTTTATTCTTTATAAATAAATATGATTTATGTTTTTTTTTTTGTTTCAGTTCAAATTAACTTTATCTGATGATGGTAAATATTTTCAAACAATTATTTTATAAAGAAATATGTATGAAATTTCTTTAGGTAGTGGTAAAGGTGCTGCTATGGTTGCTTGTCTTGCTGATGATTCATTATGTAAAAAATCTGTTGTGCATAATGAAACAACAAGAGACTGAAATTATCTTTGAAAATTTTACGTACTTTGTATACTGAGTATAAAGTTTTTCTCTCGAAAGTCTTCCATTTTTTATTATGAGACTTGTATTTCATTCTTATGCAAGCAAAATTGTTGTTTTAGATCAGAAAAAAAAAACATAAATACGTTTTTTTTGCTTTCGATTTTTTGTGTACACAGTTTTTATATCATGTGTGATTTTAACTAGTTATCTCTAGGCTATGTTTTGTGATTTGTTAGCAAAGAAAAAAAAAATAGCGAGAGAAAACAATAAATAACAGCGATCTAAGATAAATGATAAATATAGTTATTTAAAATTACAAGTAATTTCAATTGTCTGGAGCAATTTGAATTAAAAGATGAAAGGTGTAAGTCAATGCTTCGATCGTCGGCGACGATAGTTGAAAGTTTTCAAGAATTTCTTTTTTGTGGAAATTTTGGTTTCGAAAACGTTTGAAATATTTTTAGAAAAACCGATAGAGAAACATACGAATACAAATAAAATATTAGATCAACACACATGCCCAAAAAATAGTGCCAACGGTTTAGTCAATCAAGTTACAATACAAAATAACATCTTAATCTTGTGTTGAATATACTATTCATCATCAGTAAAAGTATATACTCACGTAAGAGAGTAAAGTAAGTAACATGAATTGAATCGTTACGATATACAAGAAGAAAGTAAGCTTCTAAATGTCTGAATTGAAAAAGAATCGTTGATGAACGCATATCTATACGCATTTTTTCCCATAAAGTGAATATTTAGCGATGAAATTTGGAGTAACGGCTGGAAAAATTTTCATCGTTACACAGTTTTGGACAATACTTTGGAAATACGGGTATAAAATGTACGCGAAACTGGAATGTCATGTTCAAAATACAGAACACTAGATTTTGTCTACCATAAAGTTGTTTGTCTTCACGCTCACTTTATGAATATAAAATTTACGAATGCAGAATTAAGTTCTAGTAACATAGATGTAGTTGTAATAGTAATGTATGGGGAGGAAGATTTCATTTAATTGTCAGTTTGTGTGAGTCTATCTTGCATTTATATTCGCGTATATCTGCCTGTTGAATATCTTTTAAGAGTCACTTTTTCAAGCATATATAGTAGTTGTTAGTCAATGTTATACCAAGTTTCAAGCAAACTTAAGTTTTAGAAATTAGTTTCAGTTCGTTTTTTAGATTCGAGTACTTTTATTCTATGATATTTAATTTCTTTTCGAATTTCAAATGAAACAAATCAATCTTCGATAAGTGTGAGTGTAGATCTTTCGAAACTGAAGATTTTACAGAGACTCACACTTTCCTTTGTGAGAATTTATGTCACCGCCTCAGACATAATTATCATGTGCACTAATCATTTAACTAATATTTATTCATAAAAATTTGTAAAGTTTTATTATTTGTTTTTTAGTAAAACAAAACAATAAGTAACAAATTTGAATTATTTTCGAGTTCTTTTCTTTTTTGATGCTGTTTGAATACCACCATTTTTACCAAGTTTTGTTTGTGAACGTCGTTGTTTTTGTTTATTATGATGTCCTTTTTTCATTGGATTAGGTGCTTTCATATTTTGTAATAGGGACATTTTTTTTGATAATGGTGTTTTAATTCTAATAATAAATAAAAAAAAAAATAGAAAAACAAAAAAACTTTTTTCTTATTTTGATTTTATTTACTTTGATTTTTTTGATGATGGTTCATCATCATTCTAAATATTGAAGAAAATAATTGAAATAAAATTAATAAAATATTTTTTTTTTCTTTTACTTTTTCATTTGTTTCATTATCATTAATTTGATTATTACCCATAAATAATCCTGTATTTGAAATTAATTGATCATCTATTTCAGCTATTTCAATTGTATGATTTTTTAATTCAATTGTTCGTTTTTTTGTATTATTTTCAACAGTATCAAGTAAACCTAATGCTTCATGTCGTTTTCTCATATCTTCACGTCGCTAAATAAAAACACAAACAAGTTTTATTTTTGTTTTTGTTTTTTATTTAAAATTACTTTTTGTCTTAAATTTTTTAAATCATTTTTTATTTCATCTTCAAGTTCTTTTTGTGCGCGTTCACGTCGTTCAACTTTACGTTTATGAAAACCTTTAAGATATTCTCTAAAAATAGAAAAAAAATATATAAAATTCGAAAATGAAAAAAAAGAAATCTTACTTTCGTGCTTGTTCATCAAAAACAAGTTGAGTTTTTGTTTGACGATTTTTTTTTGATCGACGTTGAACAAGAAATGATGGAGAACTTTCGTCATCATTCATCATCGTTTTAAATTTTCTAGAATTTCATTAAATTTAGTATTCCTTTTTCCTTGAATATTCTCTCATTAATGTTCATAGAAATTCACATAATTTGTATACTAAATATTTTAGTTATATATTCTATGATTTTAGAGCGAATTATCTTATAAATCATTTTAATCAGAACATAATTTAATGATCCAAAAAAGTGCTGGTTGTCGACTAAATAAATCAAGGAAATGCATTGAAGAAATTGTTTAAATGTGATACAAATAAATTCTCGAATCGTTTTATCTACAGCAGAGTATTTACCGAGGTCATGACCGGAATCACTAGAAAAAAATTACTGGAACCGGAAGCAAAAAATTTGATCCCGCACATTCTAGCATCGACTACTTAGTATAGTTATCTTGGATATATATTATATATTTAAAAACTATTGTGAATCAATAATTTGTATAGAATAAATCATCTGTCTTTTCATAAACAACAATTCAACGATGGATCGTTTATGACAGATGTTAAAATTTTCAATAAAAGTCAATATTGATCATGACTATTTTGAAATTTTCACGGTTTTTATTCAAACAAAAACAACTTCTAATAGTACGAAAATATTAGAAAAAAACAAGCTGTAGATAACTTCATAATCTCTATTACATATACTGAACAAGTCACAGGGATGTTTCGAGATCGCTAGGATTGCTGAAGAAGAGGTTGATGACTCAAGACATCGATCAGAAGATTTTTGCTAAAGTTGATTGGTTACCCGGTTGTTTTTTTGAAGGTTAGCGAGCAACACAATGCTTGAGAAAAGTGAAAATTTTTCAAGATTACGAAAGAATTTACTTTTGAAAACGCGCCAATATATATGATCTTTATTAAATTTTGCTTATTGTAATTAAGCATTCTATCACAGACCGATCCTTAAAAATCTCTATACACTAAAATGAACATATCCGGAAAGATTAAAATCTAGATAGAAAAGTACGATATAAAATCATTTATAGATTTTTTAATCATAAATTTTCAATTGGTTCAATGATTTAAACCAATAAATCTTAATAAAAGACTTATTTTTATAATATTTTTATTTTTCTAATTGAAAATATTTTTTTGTCTAAATAATTTCTTTTTTCTATAGTTTAATTTGAAATTTTTTTTTTTATCTTATCAAAAATCCATTTTTTACCATATTGCATCCATATGGGGCAGCAAACAAAGTTTTTTTCTCATTTAAATAGACGGGGGAACGACCGTTGGCGCGTGTATGTCCATTAATTAGAAAACACAAACTATGTTTTATTTCTTCTAAGTTTTAGATGTCCGTTAATCGTCATTAATAAAAAAAAACAAAAGCAAAAACAAAAAAAAAGGATGACAACAACTAATGATGATATAGATTTTGATTTTTCACAATTAGATGATACACTAATAAGTGATAATCAAAAGCAAAATTTAATTGATTATATTAATCAAATAAAAAATCAAAAACGTTCAATTTCTGATGAACTAAATCAATTTAAATTATCAACAGGTAGTATTACAATAGTAATTTTTAAAAAAAAATCAAACAAATCTCTTCATTTTGCTATATTATTTATTATTATTTTTTCTTTAACAAAGCGAACGAACGAATATTCTTGTTTCTTTTGTTTTTTTTCTTTGCTATTTGTATTCTGTTTTTTTTTCTACCATATTAAAATCATCGTATCCTTCGAAAAAAAAAACGAACCAATATTCAATATGAATGTAAATGTAAGTATAGTTTTCATTTTGTTTGTGCATGTTATTATCGCTTGATTCGAAGTTTTTTTTTTTTTTGTAGAAAATTTCTTTTTTTTTTCAAATAAAATTACTTTCTTAAGGTCATGTCAAACGACGACGTACAACAAAACGACAATTATTATCAAATTCAATATCATTACCAATAATTAATAATGAACAAACAAATAATTTACAAACAATGTTAGAAACATTAATTTATATAGTACATGAAATAAACCTTGAACAAGTTAAATTATCAACAACAATAAATCAATTAATAAAAAGAATTAATCAAAATGAATTATATTTAAATCAATTAAATATTAATATTGAAACTTTATATGAACAATATCATGTAAGAATTTGGTTTTTTTGGAAACAAAAAAAAAAAAAATGGAAGTTTTGGTTTTTTTTTAGGCTAAACAATATTCAGAACTTCAAATAGATCCAATTGAATTACCATCTAAATCATCATCATCATCAATTATTGATAATAATAATTATCAACAACCAATTGATATGAGTACAACAGGAAATAATTATAATTCAATTGATAATACAACAAAAACTATTGGAAAATCTTCATCGAATAAAGTATATAAGATTTTTTTATATTTTAGTCAGAATAGAATAATTAATTAAGTAGACAATGTAATCGATATCTAATAAAAAGAAACATTTTAATATTAGAACTAGAAGAAAACAAGAAATTTTACGATCTGAGTTTTTTAGATTCAAACCTTTATCTATTGAATACATTTTGGGATCGAAAATTGCACACTGTTTCGTAGTTTTCTTCAGCCTAGTACATTCGATCGAGTGCTGTTCTGTTAGTTCTATTCAAAGAACAAAAAGTAAAACGATACCCATCCCAAGCAGTGTCTAGTGCCTGCAAAAAAAATTTTCAGCTCAATCGAACATAGTAGCTTGGAAAAGTGGATACGAAAAAGTTTTCTCATGAACCATTCTTCAGAAAGGGAGGGTACCTTAAAATGAAATTTGTATGTTTGCTAAATATCTTACGAGGAACATTCTCCTGTTGGCCCTAATAGGTTATGAATATCCTGGAAAAAAGTTCAGACTTTTAGCTTATCGGTGGGGAGATATTACATTTTTATAGTATTTTTTAAAGTCCCTATCGTGGTTTTCCGTTGACTTAAAAGTGATTAATCAATTGAGATACTTCCGTTGTTAGCATCAAAATGCAATCTCTATCAGCAATTTTTCTTAAAGTATATATTTCATAACAAATGATCTTTCCTTTAATGAGTCATACTCTAAAAGTAAACAGCCAAATAATCAATAAAAAGTATTTAAATCTTCGAAATAATTTTCAATTTCAAAGTAAAAAATTTCGTTGAAATTAAAAGTACAATTCGAATTTTGTTTTAGGAATATATTGAACTTGGTGATCCATCAATTGGTTTATCTTGTCTTGTATTAAAACGTAAATATGATCAAGTACGTCGTCGTACTGAATTAGCATATATTCATGGTGAAAAACGTGCTATTGGCCGTTTATTAACATTTTTAATTCGACAATTTTTTTCTAATGAAGAATTACGTAATGCATCATTAGATGGTCGTGTACGTAATACACAAGCATTATCAAAAGATCGTATGTGTATTATTGATAAACATTTACAATCAATATTTGGTATTGATTATAATTTATATCGTATAACAAAAGATTGTGCTGAACAAGTTAATGTTGTTTGTCGACATGCTAGAAATCCAAAAAATTTTTTCGATAATAATAGTTCAAATATTAAAATTGAAATGAATAATTCTACTATAAATCAAAATGATATTGTTGAAGATAAACAATATGATGAATATGAATCATTTCAAGAACAATTATTTATTCAAGCAAATGGTAAAAAATATTTCTTTTTCGTTATATTATGATGATAGATCATAATGTCGTCTTTGTAATTTATGTGATTTTCTTGTGTTACTTAAATCGATTGATATTGAGAGACTAACGAGGAAACTTTCTCAGATGTGCTCTTCCGATTTCAAGGATTTCTTACACATAGTAAGATTTGAAAATCTGAGATCTCTAGCAAAAAAATTCAATAGGTTAGTCAAATCCTTTTAGGATACACTGTGTGTATGAAATCAGAAGGAAGTAGCTGAAGAAATTCCCTCGTAAGTTTGACAAAGAAAAACAAGAATTTCTTTGTTATCAATTAAATATTAACTTGAATGAATTTCAATACGAGAATTCTTAAGAAAAAGATATGTCATATTTAATAGAAAATAATATTGGGTAGTTTTCACCTCAAATCAAGCCTTACGTTCGCACAAATTTTGCATAGAACTATTACTTTATATTTGTTTATATTGAAAGTTAAATATGAGTGTATTTATTCAGTGTCTTAAGAAGGAATGTATGAGACGGATTTTGTGTTTCTAATACTCACTCATAGGATTGGGACTCAGAAGTAAGATTATAGTTAAATGTTTTTGGAGTCACTGGAAAAGAAGTTATCAATAATAAAATTTGATTCTGTACGTTTCTAGTTAAATAATTAATTCTACGAGTCATGGAACCGATTTATATGAGCAAATTTTCACAATTGAAAAAGTTACCGTGTACATCTCTACTGAAATCTAATGAAAACCGTCATAGTACCGAGCTTTAAGCTTATGTTGCCCTCGAATGCATTTCGCAATCCTCCTTTTGTGAACAATCTATTATATTGAACGATTTTCGTCGGTCCTTCAGTACTCCAAAATCTCGCTTGATCAGAACCCATATCAACATATTTGTATGATCGCTCTATAATGTGTAATAAAATTTCCTTGATCATGTTGACATAATGATGAATGATATGAAATTTTTAAATAAGCAAATAACTTTTAATCTTTATTCTAAATATATATGAGTAATTTATTTTGTTAATAAAATAAAATTCTTTCTTATTTTAGGTTTACCATACAAATTAGAATCATCACCATCAGATAATAATTAATATATAAATCTGTTTAGATTTGATTGACATAGATTAATCTTTTCATCTTTAATAATTCTTTCAATATAATTTCTTGTTTTTTTTCTTGTTTTTGTTTCTATCTATGTGTATGTTGTTCTCATTCTCTTCTTAATCATATGTTTGCTTGTTTAATTCGTTCGTTCGCTTTAACATATTCTTCTTGTTATATATATATATATATGTATTTCACATGTTGAGCTTGTTTGATGATTTCATTTGATTTCATTTAGAACAACGATTTCATGAATTAGCACGTGAATATGATATTGTACATAATGAAGTAGCTAAACAACGTGAAATTGAAAATCAATTACGTACTGACAATGAAGAATTACGTTAGTTGAATATTTTAGTACTTTTAAAAGTCAAAAAAATTGCTTTGTTGTTTTTTTTTTAAATAGAAAAAGTATCACATGAAGTTGAACAACAATTATCAACTATTCGACAGAATGAACAACAACTTAATACAAAATTGGTCTGCAAAAAAGATTTTTTTTTTTTTTATTCAACTCATTTGTTTATTTCTGTATAGGAAACAACAATGGAACAACTTCGACAATTATCAAATGAAAAAGAACAATTAAAAAATACTATTTATGAAAAAGAACAAGAAAATTATGAACTACAAAGTAAATAATTGTTGTTGTTTTCTTTCGATCGGTAAAAATATATATATTTCGTTTTTACTACGACTCGAAAGAATATCATAAATACAATCAGTTTCGTTAGTATTTGAACCTATAGATTGCCTATCGATAGGATCATACATTCTCTTTTCATCATTTTAAAATTAGAAAAAAAATCTTACAAATATATAATAAAACAGCAATAACTCTGCCAAATTTCAATAAGAATCATTTTGTTTTTAGAGTTTTTATTATAATACTGTCTCATATCTGTAGGCAAAAAATCATTGAAATCGAAAGGGAACATCTATGAAAGTTCCTTTGTAAGATCTAGGTCACATAGGTATTAGAACTCTTAATAATTGAATCTTTCGAGTTTTTTCGAAGAAAAATTTCTATATGTTAATGTTTATTCAATTTATATTTGATAATATTTTTTCTTTTTTGTTTTATTCTCATGATAACTTTCACATATTCATACTATCCATACGAATGGCGGATCCAGGAATTTGAGAAATATGTGCAATCATCACCCGGAACCTGTCCGAATAGTACTTTGATATTTTCAATGAAGTTTTCTAATCGGAATAGGGTAGAACCCATCTCGTTCAAAGTTTTGGACCTGTCCAGAGACAGGGAACCAACCAGACGAACTCTATCGGAAGGAAGAGACGATTATTCCCAGACCTCTCCTCTAAATCTGCTTTAGAATTATATTGATCTTTATCTATAAAAAAAAAAGGAAAATTCGAATTGTCTATTTTGAAATTTCAAAGACAAACAATCGTTTATCTAAATTGATATTTCTTTCTATATAGAACAACGTGAATCTTTAGAAGAAGAAAATCGTCAAGTACATGAAACAAATAGTTCAATAATAGCACGTTTACAAGAACTTGAAAATACTAGTTGTCAACTTCAAGTAAAATTCAAACGAAACTTTTGCTTGTTTTGTTTTTGAAAATATTCATTCTAACTTTTTTGTATTTCTTCTTGTCAGAGTTTAGAATTATTGTGGAATAAAGAACGACAATTATATACTGAACAGTTACAAACGTTAGAGCAATCATTAATTGAAAGCAAAAAATTGTCTATTGATCAACAAACAAAAATTATGCAATTCACTATACAATTAGAATCAACTGATGGACAATTAGAAGCACAAGTATATCTTTTTTTTTTCAAATGAAATAAAAACAATTGAAATTTATTTGAATTATTTTTTTTTTGTATAAAGAAACGTTCATTAGATATGGGTATTGATGAAAAAAATGAAGCTATACTCAATCTTGATCGACAATTACGTGAAAAAACACAACGAATAGAACAAGTATAAAATATAAAAGATTTTCAATTTTATGATATTTATTCATTTGTTTTCTTTTTATTTATATTTCATTTAGCTTCAAATTGATCTTCAACGAAACATACGTCAAATGGAAAATCAACAAATAACATCAAATAAAACTATTCAATCATTAAAAGTATATTCAATATTTTTTTTTGAAATATAAATAAGAAAAACAAAGAGATTTTGATTTATTTAAATAGAATCAAATTGATGAGGTGTTAAAAAAAAACGTCCTAATCAATGAAAAACATGATGAACAAAATCAATTGTTAGTTAAAGTTACTTCGGGTTAGTGTTGTTTTCTTTCTTTTTTTTTTGTTTTAGTATAAAATAAATAGTGTTTCTGTTAATATAGAGCGAGATGTGATTAAAGCAGATATGCGGTCATTATCCGAAATGTTCGATAAACAGTCAATTGAAAGTGGTAAGTGATTAAAACTTTAACTCCGCTACGATTATGGTGCAGCGGTCGTTGTTGTTGTTGTTGTTGTTGAGGTAGTTGCCGTTGTTATACTGACCGTTGGACGCGCTGCTGGTGCAGCGAAAGGATAGCGTCTAGGATCTAAGGAAAAGAGCAAAATATAAAAATATTAGTTATCAAAAATCAAATCAACTTACATATATTTGTGAGGTATAAAACTCCAGTAATAGGAATTGAAGATATCGTTGCAGTCGTTCCTCCGCTTGAATCAATAATTGGAACATTAGTGAGAGATAAAGCAGATGGCAAATTATTTTGAAGTAGAGATTTAAATGTAGGACCAGCGTTTAGTTGACATGCATAACCGCATGTATTATCAAAGATAATGTTGAAGAGAGCTTTCAAGACAAATACTGTATTAGCTTGACGTTTTGTAAGTGATCTAGAAAGACATTTTTTTTTGTTAATGAATTGGTTTTTAATAATACATTTGTAACTTACAAACGTTTTTTTCTACCACTACTTTCCACTGTAACTAAAACACTTGAAACTGTTACACTCCCGAATTCTTTTCGCCCTTGTAAAACCTTACGTATCTAAAATAGAATAAATAGATCAATACTGATGTATATATGTATACAACAAAAGAAGATCTATCGATCTCACTTTTAAGAAAAAAAAACAAATTTATTGTTTACACCAAATCAAAGAAGAAATGAATGAAGGTGAGTTTCAAATTTCTATTTGAAAGAAGAAAAACAAATTTCACTTGATGATTTCGAGATTTTCCTATTCAATTCTAGCTGAATAAATATTTCATTCATATTATCATTTTGATATAGTTTAATGAAAAGTATTATATGTTTCACGAATTAAAAATATGATAGATGAGAGACAAAGAAAAATAAATTAGATGGCTATATTTCTATCAAAGATAGAATTCTCAATTTTTTCTGAAAATTTTCAATTTCTCAATATAAAAATTATTATTGAATATATACCCCATTTTCAACTAATGTGTTGCCATACGACCCAAATTTACCACCAACAGAACGTATTAATGTATTCCACTGTGTAGTTTGTCTTTTTCGTCTTCCACTTGAAGTGCTGCCAGCATTGAGATACATTGTGACGTCATTGCTTTTTCGTGTATCTACAATGGTATACTATTAATTAGTATATAAAAACAAGAACATAAATGAATGATTTACCAGGATTTAATGTAGCCGTTTTTGTTGGTGTATACACAGGTATAAGTGCTAGTACAATAGTAACCGCAAGTAGAAATAAAAGACAAGCTAAACAAGCTATAGTCGCAGCAACTGGAACCGCGGTTCTTGCTGCTACATTGCCACTGTTCGGTGGTGCATACATTGTAACTTTGAATAAATGGAAGTATAATTTTCTTTACGTAATGGTTATGACTGTAATGAAAAGAAACCACCTTGTTTATATAGGCGATGTTTTTTTTCGATCACTTCATATCTAAAATGCCTAGTAGTACCAAAATGAAACGCTAGTTAACTTAAGAACCGTGAATATACCTATTCAGGTATGATTATTGACATGTAAAAAATGATTGCTACCTTCAAAAAAAAATATTTTGATAGCAGCATTACGTACAGCTATACATTAGTCTTTAAATTCTAATTACCAATTGTGATTCTAACAACGTTTAAGTATGTGACCATGAAGAATATATAAATGGAAAAGGAGAACTACGAACTCCAATCAATAGTCGTCACTGATTTTGATGATCATTATCATATTTCTAATTATAGAATCTTTTCTTTCTTTGATGATAATGATTTTCGATTTGTCTATATATATGAATTCAGATGAATTAATGAATAATATGATTTATCTGCAGTTTGTATATCGGTATTATTCAAATTTAATGTAGTCTGTCTATCGATACAAAAAAACAAAAGAAATTCGTTGATGAGACATGTGTTTTCAAGGATTTATTGTTCATGAAGTTTCGTCTTGAGTTTATAAAAAATTTTCATGAGATAATATCTTTTCTACATTTCTGAACAAGATAAAATTGATGTATATGAGTAAGATCTATCGTAGTAATGTTAAGTTTAGATTGTTTCATATGCAGGATAATACTTGTATAGCGATGGGTGCATTAAGTATATAGATCAATTTATTAGAACCTATTAAAGTTTTTTATTTCTTCGAATTCAATCTGAAGTCATAGAATTTGTTGTTTCTTGGTTGCGATATTGAAAAAATTTGATATTTAGTAAAAAAATTTCCGATATCTTCTATTTATTTCAATAGACAGCTTTTTAGATCAATATGAATAACGTTTCGTCGATATTCATCTACTGAGTAAAAATATTTTAATTACAAATAAATATATAAATATACACAATCATTTTTTTTCTATCTTAAGAGAAAAGATTTCTGTTATACGGTGTTGAAATTACCAAAAAATAATAACTTTCTTGATTTGATAGTGAAAAAAGTGTGATATGCAATATTTGAAGTTAGTAAGGACAATTTTTCTGTCGTTTTAACTATATGTACATTTATGTAAAATATTTATTTTCTTTCTATGAATATCATCAACATTTGTAACGCTATTTTTGATGTCTATATTCATTTTTATAATGTATCTACAGAATATTGACCATCTTTTAACTAACTACGGTTGAATAGTGCATTATACAACTTAATGAATTATATATGATATGCATTCAATCGAATTTGTCTGTCAATCAAAAGTTTAAGAACTTTCATTAATATATGTTTTTTGTATGTAGAGAAATTTATGATACGAAATTGTTTAATGATACAAGAATTGATTAAAAGAGCTTAATTTGAATTTAATATGAAAAAAATGTCTGTATTTATAGTAATTTTCAACACAAAAACAAATAAGTTTTACTTGTTATATCTAAAAATATGACATAGAAGTATAGGTAAATCAATATTCTATACATTAATATGACACAATTAGGTCATTTATGAAACTTGAAATTTCTTAATAAATCAACACCTTCATAATAAAGATAACAAATAGATTCAATGGAAAATATATTTCAAAATTTCATTAAAAGAAAAAAAAACAAATAACGTAAACATGTCGATATTATATGCGTGTTTTTCTTTCAAACAGATTTTTCAAATTAATATGAAAACGCAGTTAGCGTAATCCTTGTAGGATTAAAATGCAACATATGATGAAGTTGTTGTTTCCAATCATAGGCAGATTATTTTATTCTATCAATTTTGAGACATATCATTTTATTAAATCCTCGAGAAATGTAATAAGTAGTTCATATATTGCAACAAGATATTATTGATATACGTTCTACGATCGTATATCAACAATGTCTATGATAACTCGTTGATAAGATATGTTTGCAGAGTATTCAAATTTCAATATCTCACAAAATCAACATAGATAGTAATAAATAGATTGATAAGAAAAAAAAAACTTTTCATAAGAATAGAAGAAATTATTCATTTATATCTGTTTTCTGTGGACATTTCAACGAAATATCAAACTATAGTTTTTTTTTTGCTTCAAGTTTTCATAAAACAGTTTAATTGAAAACGCCAACAAAAAAAAAATATTATATGTCAAATGCTTTTCAACTATTAAATCAAAATTATTTGGCTTTCTAAGTGATAAAAATCAATAAAAGTATATATTCATGTCCTAATGAATGATTTTCAATTAAGCGCTGATAAATTTGAAAATGACAAGTTCACTCATCCATCAAATTATAATCATATTCGATCGAAAAATGCAAAAAAAAAAAAAGAAATCTATATACGACGAAATAACAGTCCAATCATAATTATCGTACCTTGATGCTTCTAACATTTTTGCTGTAAACTATGAGATTCATATCAATATTCATCAAGAAAGAAAAACGAATTTTTCTATTGAATTGTAATTTATTTGAATTCAATCGAAATATAAAAACAAAAGTTTTTCTTTGCTTATTAAGTTTGAAAAACTAAGATCTACAAGAATATTAATATCTTGATTATATTAGATCAAAAATATATAAAATGATCAATAAGCATTGAAATAAAATTTTCTTTTATCTACAATAAAGAAAACGTCTTAGTCTTATTTATTCAAGGTATTTTTGTTTATATTCTCTTTATACTATTGTGTGATTTTCAATCATATGCAGGTCTATATCTCTCTATCTCTCTCTTCGAGGGGTGTATGTCAATAAAATATATTGTGATTATAATTCAAAGCATATAATGAAAAAGTATATGACAGTAACATCATTTTTTTGTTCAGAGTGGTATAAATACTTGTTTTTATGTTATGAATTTAACTAGATAAATTTAGAGTAGATATTATAGACTTAATGTTTTTATTGTTGTAATTTATTTTGTTATAATAGTCATAAATGTAGAAGAACTCAGCATTATATTTTAAAAATAAGAAAATTTTATATTAAATACTAAATTTACAATTGAATTGAAATTTATGCTTAAATCTTACTCCGTTATATACAAATACAATTTTAATTTAAGTGCAAAATATTATATTATGTTTTTAAAAAAAAAATCTACAATCCTCGTCATTTACATTTACTTGATTATGTTGCAACAGTATCACGTATTACTATTATAGCACTTTCGACTAAACTAATTGATTGTTTTTTTTTTTTGATTCATAAATAAAGAATATTTTATTTTCAATGATGAAATATTTAGCTCACGAGCTGCACTACCTAAAAGAACTATCATCATCATCATCTAATGCGCCATTAATAGTCGACTGTAAGAAACTTATCTCACATCTTAACGTGATATCAATAAAGGAACAGTAGATAACATGTAACAAGTATGAAAGCAGCAATAAAAACGAGTATCTGATTGATTCGAATTTTGATACTTTTTATATGCATACTGATAACTATAAACTACTGTTTTTTTTAATGCTATTATTAAGTTATATCTTATTTTTAAATGTCAGATTATTAAACTGAAGATTGATTGTTAGATATTACAAAAAAAAACCCGTCGTGTATGTATATTATGTCTGTCAATGATATTAATTATCTGTTTAATACTTCATTATTATTTAATTCAAAAAACAATTTTTTTTATATCAATATTAAATTTTGATTTTAACTGTATAGAAAAATTTGTAATAGTGAAAATTTTTAATTGAAAATAGTATGATGATTAGTTGATTATTTATATTAAAGTACGATATTTATTCTTATGTGTGTGAGTGAGAGAGCAAGGTGATTATTTGACTTTTTAATCAAAGTAGTGATTACAATGTCGTTAATAAATATATTTTTATCGACTCCATCGTACAATTTTGATTATATTTTTTTTTTTCACTCACTCTAATGTTATTTATTAGAGAGACATGCGAACTTCCTAATAACAAATCACATCTGTATAAATGTGTTAGTTAATAAAAAAGAAATGAAATCTGAAGACCTACGAAAAGTGATTATGCGAATGATTGATTATAATAGATCGAATTTTATTTAAATTCATATGAATGAAATTTTCGATTATCAACAAAAGAGAACAAACTATTTTCTATAACGAAAATAAAATTCTAATATTAATTTATTATTAAAAAAATCTTTCGTCTGATTTTACGTAGAAGTAGAACAAAACTTATTTTATTATTTTCATTTATTTAGAACAAACAATTCGTCGATTACAAGATGAATTAGATAATACAACACAATTACTCGAATCAATTCGTAGTAAAGGTATGTAATTATTTTTATAAAACACAATCTGAAACAAGTGTTTACGTATATAGAGTATAAAATTTACTATACAAACTCTAACTGACGTTATTGATATGTGATCAAAGATCGTATGCCAATAACATATTGCATTTCTGGAGGACTAACGAGGAAGCCTTCTCAGATATTTCCTTTAGATCTCAATGGATTGTTTTTGCCAATAGATACGACATAGAGTTTTAATAAAAATTCTAGAAATGTTTCGGTGCCTATTGAGATTTGACTAAGCTACCGAATTTTTAATATATCTGAAATTTTGTACATATAAAAAAAAGGCATGCTATATGTACTATTCATGTAAAAGGGCTGATATCTTGTTTAAAACTTCTAAATTTTTTTATTGAAAGTAGACTAGTTTAGTCCTCTATAGGCACAATGTTTTAGATCAAAGTTCGAGTTTTCCAGAAAACCTGAGGCTTCTAGAAAATAGATATATTAAAAATTCGATAACTTAGTTAAACCTTAATAGGAACTAAAATTCTTTTAGAATTTTATTAGAACACGATGTAGTATCTATAGGCAAAAAAATCATTGAATCCGAAAGGAGGCAGCTTGAAGATGTTTCCTCATAAAAGGGTGACTTTCGTCAATAAAGATATGATATCATTT